GGATATACGGGGTCCCAGAAGGGTCTGAGGGGGATGCATGCTCCATGATTACTTTTGTGGAAAACCTGCTTAGAGAGAACCTCGAAATACCGTCCACAACGGACATTCACATAGAGCGAGCGCACCGGGCTCTGGGGCCGTAACCCCCCACTGGAGCACCGCCAAGATCGCTGATCGTCATATTTCTTAGCTACAGAACAAAGGAAGAAGTCTTGAAACTGACATGGCAAAGGAGACGTTTCGTGTGGAAAAACAGCAAAATAAGCCTGGATCACGATTATGCGTCGGGAATCCTCATCAAACGAATGGAATACGCCGAATCACGACGAGCATTAAAGGGCAACAACATAAAGTTCCGGACTCTGTATCCAGCAAAGCTAAAAGTTTTTTATGACAAAGGGACGGTAACTTCTGAGTCAGTGGAGGAGTGGTCTCTCAGCCTGACAAGCTTCTGGATCAGATACGGCTATTGACATGACAACCAGGCAGGCTACGGGCAAGACGTGGCAACCGTGACAAAGGGGCGACGGGCTCCAGAGAAAAATTAAGCGTTAGGATGGCCAAGAGTAGATGACCTTTTAAGTCAAAAAAAATAATTTCTAATTTCTTTTGAAATAATTTCTTTTAACGTCAACGGGGTCTTAAATCCAATCAAGAGACGGAAAATTTTATCTAAACTTAAAAAAGAAAGGGCACATTGCATATCTTCAAGAAACACACTTGAACAAAACTGAGCATGTTAAACTAAAATCAATGGGTTTCAAACACTTGTATTTTTCCTCATATAAAGCAGGACATATAAGAGGAGTAGCAGTTTTGATTTCAAATACATTAGAATTTGAACACATATCAGAAACTAAAGATGAGGATGGGAGGTTCGTAATGGTAACAGGGAAAATACAGGGATCAGTTGTGTCACTCTTAAATATATATATGCTCCTCCAGGAAGTGAATGGAACTTTTACAAAAGGCTATTTGAGTTGATGGCCAATTCACAGGGTGTGCTGATTTGTGGGGGTGACCTGAATATTCGTCTAAATCCAAATGTAGATTCCTCTGGATTAAGTATACAGCAAAATTCAGTTTGCAACAGAGTCAATATGGTGATGAAAGAATTAGGGATAATAGATATTTGGAGGGAGATGTATCCATCAAGTAGGGATTATACGCATTACTCTCCACCACACCTGACTTATCCTAGAATAGATTATTTTTTTACTTTTAGTCGAGATAGGGATAAAGTAAGAGATTGTGATATTGGTGTAATAGACCTATCTGATCATGCTCCCATTTATTTACCCATAATGTTGAATAGGAAACGTAGGTCAACATTATGGAAGTTGAATCCAAATATTTTGAATAATCTTCAGATTGTACAGAATTTGAAAACTGATATTAGAGAATACTTGGAGCAAAATGATAATGGGGATGTCTCACCGTCTATTTTATGGGATGCTATGAAGGCCGTCATGAGGGGAAAAATTATAGGGATAACCTCTTTTAAATAAGAAACTAAGGGCTCAGAAATTAGAACAAATGCAGGCACAACTAAAAGGCTTACAGACAGTTAATTACAATACAGCCCACTCAAATTTGAAACAGGAAATAAATAGATTAAAGCATGAAATTAATGACATGTACAATTTGGAAATACAACAGAAACTTATGTACTTGAAACAAAGACATTATGAACCTGGAGGAAGATCAGCAAAGCTCTTAGCCTACAGACTGCAAAAACAACAAGCGGATAGTACTATTAATAGAATTAGAAACCCGAAAACTAACGTGATGGAGTCTAAAATAGAGAAAGTACAAGAAAGTTTTGAGGTTTATTATAAAGATCTGTACTCCCAACCACATGTGCCAAATGATGAACAAATTGACAAGTTTCTAGACTCCCTGGAATTACCTGTAGTAACAGATTCACAAAATAAAAGACTTCACAGCTGAGGAATTGAATTTAGCCATTTCTAGATTAAAACCAGGAAAATCCCCAGGAACAGACGGATATACCTCTGAGTGGTATAAAGTATTCAAAGAACAACTGGTCCCTGTCATGTTGTCGGCCATGAACTGGGTAATAGAAACAGGTGAAATCCCACCCTCATGGAGGGAAGCAATTATTTCAGTTATACCCAAAGAGGGAAAGGATAGTCTGACACATGACAACATAAGGAGAACCCTACATATAATGAGATACATTAACCAAAACAAACTTGAGGCAATGTTAATTATTTTAGATGCCGAAAATGCATTTGATTCGGTTAGGTGGTCCTTTTTATATAAAGTTCTAAGAAAGTTTGGCTACCATCCTGCATTCATTAAAATAATCCAAACGATATACAATAAGCCCAGTGCAAGAACTAAAATAAATGCAGACCTCTCAAGCTCATTTGTGTTAGAACGAGGAACTAGACAAGGGTGCCCAATTTCACCTTTGTTATTCTCTTTATGTATTGAACCTTTAAGTCAAATAATTAGACAGACCAGGGAAATTAAAGGAATTGAGGTATTTTGTATCGAACAAAAACTCGCATTATTTGCAGATGATGTTTTAGTGTTCCTAGGGCAGCCTACTCAGTCACTCCTGTCACTGATGAATACATTGGAAGAGTATGGGGCTCTTTCAGGATATAAACTCAATATACAAAAGACTCTGACATTATGTCCCCCCTAAAAGTCTCAGGGATGCATATAAGCTCAATCGGCAGTCATATCAAATAAAGTATTTGGGAGTGTTTTTACCAAAAGAATTGTCAGATTTGTTTCAAGTAAACTATGGTCCCTTAAATATTACAATAAAGGCAGATATGCAAAGATGGAACCTTATCCCCTGCCTCACCCTAATCAAGAGGGTAGAAACAATCAAAATGAATGTACTACCTTGATTACTTTATCTTTTTCAAAGTCTACCAGTAGAGATATCAGATCAGCAATTTAGAGAATGGGACAAATGGATTTCCCGGTTTATTTGGCAGTGGCGTAAACCTAGAATTAAGTATATCACACTACAGCAGGGAAAAGAAAAAGGAGGAATCTCCCTCCCCTGTCTGCGTGATTACTTTTATGCTTCTCAATTAAGGCCTTTAATATGTTGGAGTAGTGAGCACTATACAGCAAGATGGAAGGAAATTGAAAATGCATTGGCAGTAAGTTTCCCATTGCAAGCTATGATAGCTGATAGAACATTAATGAAATAGCTTTTGGACAGGGAGAATCCCTGGATCAATCTAACAATGAAAATTTGGGAAAGGATAATTACTTTATGTGGGATACAAGATGGGCGGCACGGTGGCGCAGTGGGTAGCGCTGTCGCCTCACAGCAAGAATGGCCTGGGTTCGATTCCCGGCTGAGTGACCAGGGTCATTTCTGTGTGGAGTTTGCCTGTACTCTGCGTGGGTTTCCTCCGGGTACTCCGGTTTCCTCCCACAGTCCAAAGACATGCAGTTAGGCTGATTGGACATGCTGAATTGCCCCTAGGTGTGAGTGAGTGTGTGAATGTGTATGTGTGTCTGTCTGCCCTGCGACGGACTGGCGACCTGTCCAGGGTGTATCCTGCCTTCCGCCCAATGACAGCTGGGATAGGCTCCAGCACCCCACCGCGACCCAGAAGGATAAGCGGTTTAGATGATGGATGGATGGATGGGATACAAGATTCAGTAAGACTGCTGAAATGGTGTGCCTATGATAGTACGTTTCCCCCTAATAAAGAAGACAAAGGCTTTAAAGTATGGGTAGGGAAGGGTCTTACAGCATACATTACCTTTCTACATAAAGGAGTACTCTGGTCATTCCAGTCTTTAAAGGAAGATTTTGGATTGGAACAGAAAGATTTTTATAGATATCTTCAAGTGCGATGTTACTTCAATGAATCTTTTAAAAATGTAAATCCACAAGCTGTTGAGACAGGACTCCTCAAAATTATTTGGTCAACTATTAGATTAGGTACTTGTTCTAAAATTATCTCTAGGATTTGTAAAGAACTCCCTCTTTTGTAGGAAGGATAATACATTTTATATTAAAGAAAAGTGGGAGAAGGAGGGTAAAATATCTCAGATTGCAATGTCAGAGGGTCAGAGGGGGAAAAAAATATGTCAGCTTCAGTGGGCAACAAGAAGTTCCTTAACATGGAGAGAATTTTGCTGGAAAAATGTCCTTCGATTCTTTATTACACCTGTGCAGAAACAAATATATATATATATATATATATATATATATATATATATATATATATATATATATATATATATATATGCTTACCATAAGGTTTGTGTGTATGTATGTAATTATGTGTTTATGCGTATATAGATACATAAAAGTATACAAACATTGAAAGCAAAGCACCTGAATAGGCCCATAATGGAACTGTCCTTAGATAACCATAATTGTGGTGCTAGTTGATAATTGTAATTTGCTATTTTCTTCTATGTTCTTTTCAAAAGACTTTCCCCAATAAAAAGAAAATTAGCAAGGGAAGGTGAATCCTCATCGTCAAAGAAATAAAAACCGTGAAGAAGCAAAGCAAAATCAGGACAAGCTACAGCAGAAAACCTGACTGCCACCATAGGTTTTACTACACGTTTGGAACAGGATGGGTATTCAGTTGGGTGTAATCTGCAACTTCACCACTAGATGCCACTAAATATTACGTAGTTCTCAGCTCCTTTACAGCTATGTATTAAATGGTGTTAAAAAAACGTGATCGCTGTATAATAAAGGTGAAACTGAAGACAAGCAGCAGAGGGTATTTAAAGGAGGAAAGAGCATTCATTCACCTGGCATGGTACTTCGTAGGTTTATAATTTTGAATTCACGTTTAAATGACTTGTTGTTGTTGCTTTTTTTTCTTCTTCTTCTTTTTACTGATTGACCATCACTGATGGAATTTAGTAGTAACTGGAAGAACAAGTATAGATAAAGGTTCACTAAGAGAAGTAAAGTCAAGGAAAAAAGCTGTGAAATTTGCTTTCTATTTCTCTGTTCTTTATTACTTGCTCAGGACAAGGACTGGGAGCAGGCAGTCCAATTCCTGCCAGCAACAGACTCCACAAAACTGGAGAAAAAGAAGGGTCCTGGGAAGGTTGGTGCCATCATTGGTGTAGTGATCTTCGCCTGTGTCATGGCTTTGATGACAGGACTTCTGGTTTGGCATTTCCACTGTGAGCATGCTTTATTTATTTATTTATTTATGGATTTATCTATTGTATTATATTCATGTATGTATGTATGTATGTACTTTAATTGTTGAGGTGTAAACAAAGTCGTGATTGTTTTAATATGAAATGGTATTTTGCAGAGAAACTTACAGACCCAGATTTCTTTGCAGTGGTGGTGACAGGAACCAAGATTGCAATGTCTGCAACACAAATTTAGCCATTTTATGTACTAACCAATAAGACCTGCCAATTCACACATTTTTTCTGTTTTTTTTATGTTGATACTTGTAAATTGGTGGTCTGAAAAAATAAGTTTTTTGGGGACTCTGTTACCTTAGAACGCCCTGCATGTTCCATTCTACCAACAATGACTAGATCAAATTTTAGCTGCCAAGTTTTACAAAAAAACTTCTCAGAACTATCAGAAAACAATGTCCCTGGCATGTTCATACCCATTTTGTGCAATAACTGTCTGAGATTTTTGAGGCATTAAATGTTATGGATGCCTGGTTTCTCTCACTATCACTGTCAGCAGTTCTGACTAACCCACTCCAAGGTAGAACAAGTTAAGAATTTCAGATCAAAAGCAGCTCTTGGACCAATCAGAGCCAAGTTTCTGGCCAAAGTGGCCCCTCATCAGCTTTTAATTTCTTGTAGTACAGACAAAATAAAGATGCTAAAAAGAGTTGTTATAATTGGTTTATTTATTCTTATTTACATATGAGGCATTCACGGTTATTAAAAGACACAGCTTTTGCACCAGTCATGGTGATTTACTAACCAGGTGTCTTCACAATAAGAGTTTTTATCAGAATTACCTGTGAATAAATAAACAAACAAACAACCTAGACCTACATTTCTTGAACACGCTACATTCCCGCCCCTTACAAAAGTCCTTGCCCCCAAGGATGACAAAGTCTTTGAACTGAAATGGCTCCGCCTCCTAGAGTGTGCTGGTGTAGGCCTGTCCACCATCCCAGCCAGCACAAGTGCCGTGAGCTGCCCGCTCAGGCCCATGTCTATGGCACAGCAGCACCACAGCATACCCTGCTCTAGTTGGCACTGTCCTGCTCTGCCCTAGTCAGCAGCCGAACACCAGCTCCGTGAGCATCCCCTCCCTTGGTTTGAGGGAGAAAAGAGACTGAGCAGGGCGCAGAGGAACTCTTCACAGCTCATACGTCAAGTAGGGTGCCACTAACAACAACAACAGCAGCAGCAGTGGCACTCCTCTCCATTGCCTTCCACTTCATCTGCATTTTTGATGCTGACAAGGGTGCTGCTCGTATGTGCTGCCCATGAAAAGCCATGCTGCCCTCGACCTGACAGCACGCTCCACCCCCAGAGATCTTGCAATCAACTCTGATGCTGTGTGTTTCGATATGTACTGGGCATCCAGTGGCTTCCTCGTCACCACATGGCCACCTCTGAAACTCGGTATGGCACTCTCTAGGTCCATTTGGCACCCATCGCTTCTCAAAAAGTCTAGGCCCAGAATGCATCTGTTGGACCTCAGCTATCCAGCCTAAATGGCGCATGTCCTTGCCCCTGACTCACCATCAACTGTCCCCTCCCCATGATTGTTACTAGCTCACCTGTCACAGCATGGTGGGGAAGAGCTGTGCCATCCAGTCCAAACCCAGCAAGTACCACTTCTGGCTGGTCATCTGTGACTGTTGCACCGTGTCCACCAGAGAAGTGCATGGAACTCCTTCAGTGTCAATGGAAATGGCAAAAGTCTAATATGGACGTGGATGTAGGGGCCTTCAGGGCCTCAGGCAAGTAGCTCAGTTGGAGACAGTGTCTTGATGAACTGGTCTCAGGCTTGCTATGTACAGGAGGTGGAATGTGAGCATAAACCCATTTAGCTAGGGTCAGTGTCATTAGAAAGGGATCTTAATGGTTCCCCTGCCTGTCTTCACCGTTCAGACTGTCTTCACCGTTCAGACTGAAGGAGCCTGCACTGAAAACACTGTCCAAAATCTCTCCGGAGCGCCCAGACCAATGCACTGTAATCAAATCTCTCACTAGGGTCTAGCAATAACAAGCAAGCTAATGCATTTCTGTTCATCGGACTACTCACATGATTCAGCTACCAGTTCAAATTATGCATGGAAAGCCTCCCAGACCGCTTTGCCAGAGTATTTTAGACTCTTAGCGCTTAGTGCAAAATGCTGTTCGTTGGTGCCGCCTTCTGTAATTACATCTGCACCTGGATCTACCGCTGATGTCATGACACCACGGCAGCTCTTCCTTCACCATCATTGCTCTCATGGTTCTCACGGGCAGTATAAATCACTCCCGGTGGCAGTCTTCTAATTGTAAACTTGCTGTCATCCTCTTCTAGTTTCACGCAAACAGAGCTCTCCATCTTCCCTCTGAGCTATGTAGCTTAGCTGCTGGCGGCCGAATCGTCTGTAGGCATGGGTATCAAGAACCGGTACAAAATTGGTACTTGATCTTGACTGGTCAGTACCAAAATATTGACAAGCTCCTGGACAAGGAGTGCTGCTACCGGTATTTATGTAACATTAATTCATTCTACATTAACAGGCATTTTCAAATGGTTGGTGCTAGAATGGAGTAGTGGGAGGGACAAATATCTCTGACTACCTTAACCATTTTGAATGCTGAGCATCATTCTGTGCTCTCTATGACAAAGAACACAGAATGATGCTCAGCATTCGAAATAGTTAAGATAGTAAAAGACATTTGAACGCTTTCATTGCTGTAACAACTGAAAGGTAAAGACATTCAAATATGAGGACTCACTTTACTAAATTTAATAATAAGGAAGCTAAATGCAGCATATTACAGCAGTAGCTGCCTTTTAAACAGGGTAACAGCCTCATGAAACACAAAGACAACATTCAATAAATCTTAAGCAGTGCAGCATGTTTACTTTAGCAAAGCGGCTGCTGCGCGTACGTTTTCAGTGCAGCCTCCTAGTGTTGTGACAAATGCTGTTCCCTTGTTGAAATGTACATAAAACTCTAGGTAGGATATTTTGATAGCTTAAAACACCTTATCAAAAATGCTGCCAGCATTAAAACTACAAAGCTGAAGTCAGCTTCCTGTCCACCAGCTTCTTGTTCAAATGTTTCCACTCCACCTTGGTGCAACAGTTACATGCGTTAAAATAAAAACTGCTGCACCATTTAAGCTGAAACGGAAGCGAACTTCAGTTTGAATTCTGATAGTTTGATAGTCTAAACGTCCTAATCAGAAAATGTTTCCAGCATTAAAAGAATATATATATATATATAAGATATTTTGATAGCCTAAATCAGCTTTTCAGGGAACAGTAGTAATACTAAGCTGAGTATGTACTGAATTAACATTTTAGTTAGCATAACATAAATTGCAAACTGCTAGATAGCCTAACCAGGGGTAATTAATTTTGAATTGCTTATAGATGTAGGGAGATGTTTACAGCCTTTTTTATATCTTTTCATTTTGATTGTTTTCACATCTTTTCATGTTGTTTTTTGCACCAAATTATGGAGAGTAGTGTCAATAAGTATCAATAGCGATATCGATAAAATCCTGACAATACCCATCCCTAATCATATGAATGCCTCCTATTAAGGAACGTTTACTTCTGACACCAAATGTAGTGTTTGCTACTATTAAAAGAGAGAGCTTTTGCACAAGTCATGGTGCCTCATTAACCAGCTTTATTAAACAGCTTGCTGTAAGCCTCATCTCGTGCGCACTCTCAGCTCTCAGCTCCCGTCTCTCAGTTCTTCCTGTTCTATGTACATATTCCTCTGGAGAAAACCAGCCCCGACTTCACAATAAGAGTCATTTCTTGAACACACTACACATAGTATGACCTCATGTTCCACTGCAAAAAAGTAACCTTCTCAATTCCTTCTGTGTGTACAACTGAAAACTGTTGACTGCCTTTGCAAAACAAGTAACTGCTTTTGTTTCTTAGATTCTTAGGTGAGTGTTTTTAAGAATTATAACTCCTGTCCTCCTTTCTCCTGTGTGGGCTTACAGTTCGTAAGGACATCAAGGTGAAGAAGATGTACAGCGGCTTAATGAACATCACAAACCAGGAGTTTAAAGATGCTTATGAGAACCCAAACAGCACAGAATTTCAGGCCCTGGCTAAACAGGTAGCCTCTCAGGTAAGAGCCAGGGTCAGAGCTAGATCTACAATTATTTTCAGTTTGTTTGTTGATGACAAATATTTGTGGTTTGACATTGTTTTTTGCCTTTGCATTACTGTTTTAACATTTTTAGTTGAGAGAAATCTACTCCAGGACGCCGCAGCTCTCTAGATATTACGTTGACTCTACTGTGCAAGCCTTCAGGTGCAGCCTTTACACTAATAGCACACCCTCTTTCCTAGTATTTGTGAAATATTATTTTCTTTAATTTCTCTGTTTCTTCCCTCTCTCTCCAGTCAGAACAGTGTAATAGCATATTATCTATCAGAGTTCCACGTTCCAGTGTCACAAGAAGCTGCTGTAGACAACACCATGAGCAGCATAAACGAAATCTTAACCAAGTCACAGCGTCGCCTAACAGACCCCCAAGGAGCTTTACTTTTTAACAGCGTAGAAACTTCAGGTACAATTCAGTAATGAGTCAAAATTTACAGTTGCCTGTATTAAGGTGGTTAGTGTTAGATGAAAACACCTTACTTTTAATTCACTCACTGTCACTTTTTCTGCTCACAGCTGTGGACTCAAGGATGTTTGCAAAGTCTTGTGAGTTTTGCTTCAGTGGTTTTTATTTGAACTAATTTCTTTTCATGTGCTGTGTATAAGACAGTAAATGGGTTGTACTGTGGCTAAGCTATCTCTGTTTCCACAGCAATTCAGAGATTCAGCGCACGCACTAGGCCAAACACGGCCATACTTATTGAGTCACCAGGGTTTCCCAACTACCCATACCCACCCAACACATTGGTGCAGTGGCAGTTACGGGCTGACCCTAACAACGTCATAAAGCTAGATTTCCGTACCTTCAATCTGGAGGGAGACTGCAAAAATGATTTTGTGAAAGTGTATGACTCGCTGGCAGCCATCGAGAGCCGCATAATGGCTGAGTAAGTAGGCCATGCTGACTTTATTTTCAAACACCATTTTAGAAAATTGAGTTGAAAATATTAGAAAAAGTAAATAGTGAGACATTTGGTTCTTAAATTGAGCCTTGTTTAAAGTAATTATAACAGTGAAGTCAGAAAGGTGTATCTGCAGGTGTTAAATGGTAGACTATAAAAAGATTAAGAAGCAGCACCCAATGAATAGTGCTGTCTAGAACAGTGGTTCTCAATCCTGGTCCCATTTTAGAGCTTTCTCTGGTGTAACTGATGAGCAAGTTCTTCTTGGGGTCAGGTGAATGTGTTCAGAGCAAATACAACAGCATGCAGGGCTGTGGTACTCCAGGACCAGAATTAAGAACCACTGTTCTAGAGAATCAACAAAGGAGTGAGAGATTACCCAAATCAGGTGTCACCTGTATAAAACATCTGAAAGTTAGTCCTTTAGTTTTGCACTGGGACTTTAGCCAACAAGTCATAAAAGCAAAATACATGCCTAAATATTTCCAGTCATTCCATTATTAGTTAACTACGTTGTTGTTATTTTATTTTTTCTAAGTGTATTAAAATAAAACATTCAACCATTGCTGCATCTGCTGTAAACATACATACATAGCACCCGGTCATGCTGTCACATTAATCGCTTGAGTGAAATTTTTGATTCACTTTTGATAACGTATCTTTAAGGTAGGAGAAACTGTTAAGTTTTTTTATTGTTTTTGCTTTGAGAACAACACGATCACGCCAATAAGATATAAGTACATATTTGTAGGAATAGGGAGGGAAGGGGGGAACAAAACGAAACAAAAAAAAGTAGAGATGCATTAATGCTATTTTTTAGACCGAGTACAAGTATGTTCTCTAGTACTTGCCGATATGGATACCGTAATGAGTAACCTACTTAGAATTAAGTAGTTGCTAAAGTAAATGAGTGTCATGTACATTAGTAACCTTGGATCAAGTAGCGTTGCAGTGAAGGTCAGTGAAGGTCAAGTTTTGATCCACATCAGAATAGTGCTTCTGTACAGCTGTAAGTAAAGTAGCTTTCATGATTTTGATCCCAAGCTCCTCATCCGTCTCTTTCAGCAACAGTCTCTGTAGCTAAGTGACCACAGGAACGACATTTGAGGCTAATCCAAGGAGTTTACTTGTTGAGTTTTACATCTTGTTAGATGAAAAAAATGTATGTGTTAACAAAATACCTTTCAATTCTATTTAACTAAGTAATGTCGGCATATACCAACTTTGCTTCTGTAAATGTTGAGATTTGCCTTCATTTTGCTAGCCTTATTTTTACTATTTTGTTCAACAACCAATGTGTTACACTAATGCTAGCTTTGTTGTATTTATTAGCCTGTAGCTCAGTGACTAGGCTAGCGGTCAGGATTGGTTGATACCACAGGAATTTCCAATGGTTGTATGATGTGTTTGCACTATGCATACTGGGTGTTGTAGTGAGAGAACAATGACAAACAAAAACTTAAAAACTTATTCACATTTTTAAAATATTTTTTATGTCTCATTGCTGGGGCTAAGGGCACACTGTGCTGCATTACAGAATACTGCAGAACACACCTAATAACACTTTAAACACATTTGGAATAGAGAAATCTTGTGCAAATGTGAGAGTTTGTCCAGCTATATACAACAATATAAATAAAAATATATTTTGGGCTGAGCTATCGTTTATCCATTACATGTGAATATAGTGCCATCTGCTGAGCATTTGCATTACAGCAGGCTATTTGACAACATGTAACATAACACATAAACAAGGGTTTCCAGCCTTTTTTAAAACACACAACTTAAAGCACACACATTCTTTGTGTTCTCGTACTGCTGGTTCAGCTACAAAACATGTTTGTATAAAGATATAAAGTGTTAACAAAGAATGACATTTTAGTGAAGTCATTATTGTCTTTTTGGCTGGCAGGAAGTGCGGATACTACTCTCCAAACGACCCTCTCAGCTTCATCTCCTCTGGAAATGTCATGCTGGTCACATTGGTAACCAATGAGGAAGGAGACTATCCTGGCTTCAGAGCTCATGCTACTCAGTTGGTGAAGGGCAGCAGAGGTATGCACAAGGACTGATCTAGAGAGCCACAAGTAATGTGGTCGATCACCTAAACATGTTTGGTGCCTTTAGTTTGCGTTTTTAGTTTTTCATTGGATCTACAAGAATTATATAATAGAAATCGGTTATAGACATAGACTTCCATTACTTGATATCTATATTAGCCTTGTAACCTTAAAAACTAAAGAAGCAAACTTCAGTCACCAAACAAATCTCTGCTGATGTAATACGTTTTTTTTCAGTTGACCATTCCTTGAAATATCTACTTATAGTGCATGCTTCATCATGATGTCCTGAGAGTATTTAAGGGGATGAATGATTTAATTTATTGCATAATGACAATCTACTGGTACAGAATTTTTTAAAGAATATTTTGTCCGTTAGATTGCTTCACAGAACACTAATGCAGATTCAAAGAACTCAAACGATGAATTCAAAAACACAGGGCTATCATTGTTCCCTTTCTCTCTTCTGTCTCCGCCTTCAGACGTAACATGTGGTGGAATCCTGACAGGAAATACTGGCACCCTTACATCACCAAACTACCCAAAATATTACCCACCTCTTACCAAGTGTGAATGGACTATTCAGGTTAGACAGCCTCTCATGCTGATATTAATATCTAATTACCATCGTTGGGTTAAAAACATTAGTTTGTAAACTTTTTCTTTATTGAAGGTGCCCTCTAATATGAATGTGAAGCTGCTCTTCTCCAAATTCATGATGTCGAAGGGTGACCCAAAATGTCAGAAGGACTATGTCCAAGTCAATGAAGAAAAGTGAGTGATAAAGCTGGTTTGATAGATTTTTGCAGTTACTAAAATTTCACTTTGTACTTTATTTGGGACATAAAGTATTGGATCAACACAGTGCGTGTGTGTTTCTCCACAGGTTGTGTGGTGAACTTCCAACTAACACAGTGCGGACGAGCAAAACAAACCAAATGACTGTTATCTTCTACTCTGATGCATCATATGTAGATCGAGGATTTAATGCCATCTTCACAGCCTTTGAGCCCACTAACCGTAAGTGCAAGTTTAGACAAAGCCCACCAGGATCCCACTCTATGCCAGTGTTCATCAACCCAGTTTTTAGGGCCTGCCAGACAGTTCCACATGTTTGCTGTAACATAGCAAAAATAAATTTAAAAAGTAAATGCTAAAACGGAGAAAGACAAATGGATGCAACAGGAGAAGCCCATGTAAACATTAACCTTTCTTACTCTTCAGCATGCCCGGATAAGTTCTTGTGCAGCAATACACGCTGTGTCAGCCATGACCTGCGCTGCGATGGTTGGAATGACTGTGGAGATAGCAGTGATGAGAAGAAGTGCAGTGAGTACTCCCCAGAAACTGAGTGACATCAGCCCTGCAGATGAATCCTCAGGCTAAACAAAGTCTTTGGGTAGAAGAAACCCCAGCTTGGGCAGAAGTTAGTTAACTACATAGCTACCCAAGTTGGCTGGCTGAAGTCTTGGTGAGGTATCTTATATTAACCTAAGGTGATAATTTGTCAGTGCAAATCTGTTACGGAGAGTGCTTGCTGTAGTTACATAATTACTAGTTGGATAACTAGCTAATATTATCACTAACTGTAACCTTAAACCTTTTTAAAAACATTAGCTAAACATGGTTATAGAGTAAATAAACATAATCTTTATCCTAAACAATTTTATTTTGAAGGCGCAATTTACACTAGCTAATGTAATTGGGGAACTTACCGCAACCTTGACCTTTACAGTTTTATTTACCTTATGTTAATTTGAGCCACTTCACACACACTTTATCTATCTAGGTAACCTAGGTCATTAAGATTTGCCCAAGCTGAGGCTCCCACCACCCAAGCCAAGTCTTTGCCCATGCTTGCAGATGCAGGAAGTTGCAACCTACTAATTCTCACAAAAAATTAAAAACACAGATTTTCCATATGGACACAGCACCCTGATCTAATCTGGGTTGATAGTTTGCTCTTAAAGAAAAAGGACAAATAATTTGTTTTTCCACAGATGTTTTTTGAACAACATACTCCTTGTGAGATATTCAAAAGCATCAAATGAAATTCTTAGATTTCAATCATTACAAAATGTTGCATGTGAGCATGTGTTTTTGGTCTTCCAGATTGTGACTCAACCATGATCAGCTGTAGGAATGGTCTGTGTAAGCCAATGTTCTGGAAGTGTGATGGCATTGATGACTGTGGAGACAGGACTGATGAAATGAATTGTGGTAAGAATTTCAGTGTTTTAATACCCTGTTGCTATCTTGCTCATTTTTGTCATATCAAAATATATCAGTCATGAGTCATCTCCCTTTTAATGCTGTTTGTATTAAACTAACTCTCTCTATTTCCTTCTGTATCTCCCTATCTTGTTCTCTCAGCCTCTTGCAAGGCAGGCGAGTTTGTATGTGGTAATGGTAAATGTATCTCAGACAAACAGAAATGTGATCGGCAAAACGACTGTGGTGATAATTCGGATGAAGCTGACTGTGGTAGAGGTAAAGTGATTCCTTCATGACTAAAGGGAGGAAATATGCCATAGTAATCGCATTTGGCAGTCATTGTAAAAACAAACAAGTTCAACAAAGTTATGGAATATGTCAAGAATAAGATGTTATGTGAATATAACTATTATTTGTCTTTAAAATGGTCACTGATTCTTGTGTATGTGTTAATGAATTATTGAAATGTCGTTCTTTTGTCATTTCTGTTCTCCTTCAGCAACACCATGCACAGAGAGTAATTATCTGTGCAAGAATGGCCAGTGCCTCACTAAGCAGAACCCAGAGTGTGATGGAGTGAAGGACTGTGAGGATGGATCTGATGAGGACTGTGGGGGTAAATCACAAAACACACTGGGGCTGAGGTTCCCATTGTACAGTAGTAATTTTGGCCAAAAGTCTAATTCACACAGTAGTTGATCAGTTTTGTACAGGAGCTTCTAGGGTAATGCAAATAACAAGTAATGGAAGTTTGTACTCACCAGTTTCTATTATAATAATAATAATAAAAAAAAAAATAATAATAATATCTTTATTTATAGAGCACTTTTCTTACCAGTGGCAACTCAGGGCTTTATAGACAGCTTAACAGTAAAAGAAGAAAGTATGAGTATTGAATTAAAATCACGAGGCCATAACACGGATCAAATAAAGATTAATACCAAAAAGTGAAATTTTACACTAAGTTAAAGAGATTACCACTTCTGTACAACACACATATCATTTCTTCTTAAGTGTCAACTGAGCTTGACTGTCTAATAAAAGGTGGAATTGAGTCCCACAGTTTAGAAGCGTAATACCCAAAAATACCTTTTCTGTATTTTACAGACGACATTTGCAAAAGGCCAAAAAAATCTGCAGATCTAAGTTCACATATTGGAACATGAACATAGATAGGCATTCTGTGAGGTAGCAGGTGCTAGGTCATTTAGAGCCTTAGAGGATATATTGACTTCATTAGTTAATCAGTCAGTGTAATCAACTCAGCTTGTAAAAAATGCATGAAAAATTCCTCTGAATCACTGAGATCGAAAAACAAAGTGCAAACTGCATGCCTGAATCATCACATACTTGTCTCAAACTGTATGAAATCATAAAATCTAAAAAAGATTTTATGTGGTTTTTGACTTTGTATGACATGCTCGTAACTTAAAAAGCGGACAGTGTTTTTAGATATCTGTTTGTTATACAGTGTCTGAACTACATAGATTGATAATGTGGGTGTGTACTTTGCAAGCCTGTAAGTTAACTTGTTAAATAAGCTTCAAAGCTCCAGTGCAAAACCTAAAAAAAAAGCTTCAGACACCAAACTGTCTTGACTGTTTGGCTACATTCAGATGTATAACATTTGTGTAAATTTGATTTAAGTTGCTTGTACTTTGCTTATGTATTAATATAATTTCTCTGCTTTTCTCCTGTAGATTGTGGAACACGACCCTATAAGACCTCACGTATTGTGGGTGGTCAGGATGCTACAGAGGGCGAGTGGCCTTGGCAGGTCAGCCTTCACATAAAGAGCTCTATCCATGTGTGTGGAGCATCTCTGATCAGCGATCGATGGCTAGTCACTGCTGCTCACTGCGTACAAGATGAAGGCTCAGTGAAGTAAATGCTGCTTCTTTTTTGCTTTACATCTGCTCTTGCTCTTGCCTCACCAAATAACTGAAGTTTCCATTTTCACTTTGTTTTGCTTTCCTAAGCTGTTAAAAGCTCAGCAAATGCATGAGAAGTGCTGGCTATTATGACAACCTTTTAGTAGAGTGAATGAAAAAGAAGTGATTTGTTCAATAAGTCTGACATGGGGGGGGAAAAAAGCATAAACAAAACTCTTCTACATCATGTATCTGTGGAAGGGCTTTAATTGGTTTGGGTGTGCTTTTGTGTGTGTTTGTAACAGGCTCTCTCAGCCAGGCTCATGGGAGGTGTACCTAGGCCTTCATACCCAGAAGCAGCTAGATAAAGCAGAGAAGCGCTACCTGAAGCAGGTCATCCCTCATCCCAATTACAGTGAATACACCTTTGACAACGATATAGCCCTAATGGAGCTGGACCAGCCTGTCATCTTCAAGGACACCATCCGGCCCATCTGCCTGCCTTCCGCCTCCTACAACTTTCCTGCAGGCAAGGAGGTCTGGATAACTGGCTGGGGTGCCACAAGAGAAGGAGGTGTGTTTAAGGGATTCATGTAATTTCATCGTTCACGATCTAAATATATGTTGTTCCCCGGACTGTAACAGTTTGATATTAGTCTACCCTTATTATGATTGAAGTTAATAGGGTGCATCAAAACATCTTAAATATAAAAATTCATATATATTAGCTTCCAAGCTGAAAGAGTGCCTGTAGTGGAGCTTCGATGGGTACCTTGGGTATGAAGACAAGCCTTCAGAATACAGTAATGTTATTGGTGAAATAAGAACATATCTTTTTACGTTGAATTAATGTTCAACCAGCAATTTCTGACCCTTTTTTTTTCTAATCTGCTTTTTAAACTTAGGGATTAACATGTTCTAACATGTTCTGTGTCTCATTCTACCACGCTGGGGGGTAAATAATCCAGTATTTTCAAGCGCCAATCAGAATGCATCTGACACAAAATCATAAAAAATATCAATTTTTATAAAAGTCTGCCAGACTTATGCAATTACAGTACACATTATTTTAATAGAAATTATAAAGTGTCTTTCAACTCACAGGAGTGAGAGAGTACAGCATTAGAGTAAGCCAACCAAGATAATTTGTCATCTTAGCTAGGAGCCTATTGCAAAAGCACGTTGGCTGTAAGTATTGAATGTAATATTCTACAGCACTGCAAAGTGAAGTGCTCTCTACATATTCTCTTCACGTTCTCTTTGAGGTACTGGTAATATTACAGGCATGCTTAGCAATTTTGGCAGAAGTTAGCTGAAGCTAGCTGTTAAGAAATTCAGTAGTTATGTTGAACAATAATATTACTGCAGGTTGTTTCAGTATTGCTGCTATGTTCCAAATGCAGAATCCAATCCTAACTTATTTTGTACACCATCATAAAATAATCACTTTATCGTGAGCTTTGCAGTATTAAATTTGACATATTAAAGGAATTGTTTGATGAAAAATCAAATTTACACAGTTTCCCGCTTCCCAGACGTAGTCAGTGGTGTCTGATTTTAACATCTTTAGTTTAGCACTGCAGGTACAAGGCTAACATTGCTAACAAACACTTGAAGCCAAAAGTCATTCAAATCTTTTGTGTAGATACATCCCCAAAACGCCTCTTAACCGGCACAAACTGCATTGACGCCTTTGTTAAGTTTGCATAGAAATGTTCATGTGGTTTAGAACAGGGTTTCTCAACCTGTGGGCCGTGAAGCACCCTCTAGTGGTCTACAGACCTGAATTGAGGGGTAGGCAGTAGTTTGTGCTGGGCCAGTAACTTTGTCATAAGTGCAAAAATGTTAACTAAAAAATTTAAAATCTAAGAATCAAGCATTTTCAAATTATAACCATATAATTTGTACAGATGTACAAATAAAAATGCCACAGTAGCAGGTTAATTACATGTTATCCGTTTAAGACAACGCAGCCGCAGCACAACCTCATGTTGTTTTCACCTACCTTGTTTTGTGAGGACCTGTCACAAATTTTCTTTAGTTTGCTTTGTTTTGACATGTATGAACATTCTAGCTCCAAATCACATTCCACATCTACCTCCTACATTTCTACACCCCCCCCCCTTTCATAACATCATTGCAACCAAATATTTTTTTTTTGTTTGTTTTTTTTTTACGTTATGGTTTTTACGTTATGGTTATGTTTTGTCTGATCTTCTTCAGATCCAATTCTTAGCTTTTCAGTGTCAGCACTTAAAAAAAGAAAATTGTATTTAAAAAGGTGATTTTAGTGTGTATAAACAGGTGGGTCTTGGGGTGAAAAAAGATGGCCATTTACAGAAAAGATTTTTGAGTAACTATTGACTGGTATTGTATGTTAGAAACATTAGCATCGAAGCTCCAGCACTAAACTAATAAAGGCACAGTCTTGGCTTACTACATCTGGCATAAGTAGGAAATCATGTAAATTTTTTGCAGAGACATTCTTTTAAGGTTTTGTTTGGGTATACACTGATTTCTCATTTTTTTTAAAAAGGCCTCAGTTATCAAAATAGTAGGATGACTGGCAGCAAGCCATAATGCAGTATTTATTAAAATATCAAACTTGCTGTGTCACTTGACATGCACAAAGAGGAAGGAGTGAGTCCCTCTTGATGTGTGTGTGTCTGTGTGTGTGTGTGTGTGTGTGTGTGTGGCAGGCACTGGTGCAACAGTGTTACAGAAAGCAGCAGTGCGTATCATTAACAGCACAGTGTGTGATGAACTGATGAAAGGGCAGATCACTTCACGCATGACATGCGCTGGAATCCTACAAGGAGGAGTGGATGCTTGTCAGGTGTGTTTTGCGTTTTTGGTTTTGTATGTGCATATATATATATATATATATATATATATATAGTGTGTGTGGTGTGGTGTGTGTGTGTGTGTGTGTGTGTGTATATATATATATATATATATATATATGTATGTGTATATATATATATATATGTATATATATATATATATGTATGTATGTGTATGTATGTACGTATGTGTGTATATAGACATAGACACACACACACACACACACACACATATATATATGTATGTGTGTGTATATGTGTATGTGTGTTTATATTATTCTCTTGATTTAAAACTGTACATCATTTTCCACATTTAATAATAATAATATACTTTGTTCACATGAAAAAAATGTAAACATTACATTGGTCTATTTCTCAGCAAGTGTAAAGGAGAATTCTACCAATTTTCCAAATGTCTGCATAATTGTATGTAATAAGATATGAACAGTAATTGAAAGTGGTTTGGTGTTTGGTGAGTGCTTCCAGACAAACTTGCAGAGATAAAATTGTTCACAGCAGTGGTGATGGATACCATATAAAGTGTTAAGGCATGTGTAATGCCTCTAAAAGCTAACTATTTTCAGGCTATTACATGCTTATGGTTACCAATACTTAAGCTTTTTTAATGTTTTTGTTCAATGTGTTATTTTATTTGTTTTTTTAAATCAGGGTGACTCTGGTGGTCCACTCTCTAGTCTTGGCACTGGCCGGATGTTTCTGGCAGGAGTGGTGAGCTGGGGTGACGGCTGTGCCCGCAGGAACAAGCCTGGCATTTACACCACTGTACCCAAATTCCGTGCCTGGATCAAAGAGAAAACGGGAGTATAACTCCAAGGAAAAAGGATTGCTTAGGACTATGGACAAAAACTTTAGTGAAACATACTGTTGACTGTATAATGAATTCTTTTCTGAATTGTGCCTAAGTAGACAAATGGATAAGGACCATGCATGGAGCCTTTAGAGATGTTCAATATTGAGGCTGTTGTTGAGATTAGGTCAAAGATGTATTTGACCCAGTGCATGATAATCTGTATTCTTGAAACATTTTTTTGGGCGTCTTATCTCTGTGGTTTTATCAGTTATCCACAAAACTCATACAGTTTTTTAGATATTTTTGAATGGAATGCTCATTCATGGTCATCTGTTTTATATTTGTATATTTTATGTAGGGAAATACCAGGGTTTTGCTTTACTTTATGTAAATAAATGTATTTCCTTCTTTTTAACGTACTTACTTGGAAAACAATTTTACTGTGTGCTTGTAGATAGCAGCAAAAATTAATGTTTTTCTGTTATTATTATTGTACCAATTATTACTTTTTTTAAAGAGATTATGATGCTATATGTGGGTGTTGTTGTTGAGGACATCCTCTTACACTCATACATCCCCATATACACTAAAATGTGAAATGTGAAATGTGCTTTTTGTCAGTTTTCTGTTCCATTCAGCATTTGAAGGGGAATTCCACCAGTTTTAGAAAATATCAATAAATTAGCTATAAACAAGTCAGCTTTCTGTGAGGCATCTTGTAAAGGCATCAATCACTGCATCTGGATCCTGTCACTACTGTTGTTGGAGGTTTCTCTAGGATAGCACATTTCATGTCAGACTACTCTGAATAACTTTGGTGGAGTTTCCCTTTAATTATGGGGAAGACAGACAATGCCAACCCAACATTCTCTAATGAGCTTAAATGTTGGATTGGTGTCATTTTTTGTTTATTGTTAAAGGCAAGAAAGTCCCTTTTTATACATTTGGCTCATCAAGCTGTGCTTTTTTTTTGGTCTGTTTTTTGTATTTCTTTTTAGCTGGAAGATGCTTTAGAATTTGCTTATTTGAGTCCTTAGAATTTGTCTCAAATGCTAACTTTGAAAATCAAATATTATATAATGTACTGTGAGGTTGAAGCAGTTTCTTAGATATACACAAGTGTATGCAAAGCACTTGAAGATTGTCTTCTATGTATATTAGGAAATGTGCCTTTTAAATAGTGATAACCTCAGGTCTTTGAGCTCATTGTTTTTTCATGAATTTCATTTAACTATTGCATTTTAGACATTTAGAAGGTTTTGGAAGACTTATTTGTGGCCCATGATTGCGAACGTTGATCATCTAATAAATATTCCCTCTAGTTCTGTTCTGTCTGCTCCTATTAAAATGGACAGTGAAACATTTGATGAAAGCATTTTTAACTGGTTTATCTGGTTGTTTCAATTTCAACAAGAGAATCATAGAAAATACCAAAATACTTTTGATACCAGAAGTTTAACGCAAAAGCATATTTATATGCCATTTAAAGGAGAATCTCACCTTCAAAAAAAGGCTTTCTACATGATTTCAGAAGTTCTTCAAAGTGGTTTGATGCAAAATGCTCTTGTAGAGAAACTTACTAACACAAAGCTATAGCTAGAAACGGTTACGGATATACTGTCTGATGTCTGTGATGTTGTTTTACAATAGTTTTTAGATAAGGTTTTGGCCTAAAGTATATATTTTTTAAAAAAATCTTGAAGGGGTAGACCACACAAACTCACAGAGTGGGCCACTGAGCACTGAAGTGCATAGTGCATAAAAATTGCCTATCCTCTCTTGCATCATGCGCTATACACAGAGTTCCACACTGTCTCTAGAAGCAACATTGTCACAAGAACTGTGAGTCAGGAGCTTCATTAAATGGGTTTCTATGGCCAACCAGCTGCACACAAGCATAAGATCACTATGTGCAATTCCAAGCGTCGGCAGGAGTAGTACAAAGCGTGCTGCCACTGGACTCTGGGGCTGTGGCAACTTGTTCTCTGGAGTGATGAATTCACTGTCTGGTAGACTGATGAATTAATCTGGGTTTGTCAAACGCCAGAAGAATGCTATCTACTGGAATGCACACAATGGCATTTTATACAATTATATGCTTCCAATGAGAACAATCCTTTCCTGTTCCATCATATCTGTACCTCTGCGCACAAAGAAAAGTCAATAAAGACATAGCTTGATGTGTTTGGTGTGGAGAAAATCCATTAGCCTGCACAGAGCCCTGATCTCAACCCCACTGAACACCTTTAGGATGATCTGGAATGCCGATTGCAAGCCTGGCCTTCTCACACTCCAAAATCTTGTGGAAACCTGGAAGAGTGAGTGCAACTCCACATTAATGCCTATGCTTTTGGAATGAGATGCCCAAAAAGCGAAAGCGATTAGCATATCATGTAGTGTATGAGTCGGTATGTTTCTCTACAATGCACCATTTCTCACTGAAACACTCTAAATGACTTTGTTTTCATTACAATGTTTGAATGATGCACTCATTTAGAAAATGTATGGTGGAATTCCCCTTGAAGTATAACATTACTTGTATTCTCAGACATTAATGTGACTGTGAGCACTCCTAGCTGTGAGGTGAAGCTGAATTTACATGAAGTTGAACATTTCCAAAGGACAGCCACAGCTCCACCTCCAGCCTATCTGGGACAGATATGTGGCACTAACTGCCTGGAATATTTGCATAGTGTGTGCAGTGATGTGGAGAGAATGGAAGTATGTGAAGGACTACATATCTCAAAGTGGCCTCTGTTTGACTTCATGGCTGTTATTAATCCTCTGTCTTATTTCCAGCCTGGCATCAGGTAAAATACATGTGTTTTGTAGTATTTTTTGTAATGCATTGTCATCTGTAAATGCAACATAGTTTGCTTATGTGCATGCAGTACATTACTACCTAAAGCTGCACAATGTTTACAAATGCAAAGTCTCTCAGAATTAAACAGGCTGTTTTTGTTACTGTACCTTTAAGATGATATATGTCAATAACCTCTATTGTGATTGGCTGCCCTATGTTGTGCCTCATTCAAAAAGCTGTCTAGATTCCTTGTAACTTCAGCGTGAATGAGAAGCATTAAACTGCTGTAGGTTAAATAAGTAGATAAATGTAAATGGCTTGTTTTCCATGACATCACAAAAATAATGAGTTCAAAATGGGCTGTGTTTGCAGCTTAGATTTCATGTATGAACTGGGGAGTGACTGATGCGTTTTGAAATTTTAATAGTATTTATGTACTACATCAAACTCCTTTATTGCAAAAAGTGAGAAAAATGTAGTGTTCCAAGGTATGGGCCCTTTAAGTGGTATAGCTTTTCAATAACAAACATTAGATTGTAATAGCAATTTGGTGCAAAATGTGAAAACTCCTCTTCTCCGACGTTACAGTTATTCTCCTTCATGTAAAGAAAAGCCCACATACAGTATTTACAGTTATGTTCAGCAGTGTTGTATAATATTTGAGTTCTTCTCCTTAGGTGATGAAATCAAATGCTCGGAATTCCTCCATCTTGATCCACCTTCACCCACTATACAGCTGCTGCAGTTCACAACACAGAGCCATTGTGGTTGTCCATTCAGCGTCCACAGTGGTCTCCCACGACATGTGTGGGAACCTGATAGGGCCACTGTCATGATTGTCCCTGGGAAAAGACAAGCTACAGTTCAGCCCAGCTGGGTGAGGACTATGGCCCAGGAGCTGCTAGCTAGAGGCCAAGAGAATGTACTTGCTGTGGACTGGCTGATCCTACCTGACATGGAGCTGACTGAAGCAGCTGAGCAGATCGGGAGAAAGCTGTCTCAAATCATCCAGCGACTCCTGGTGGGTCGCTGTAAGATATTAGCATTCACATAGACTTAAACTGTCTCAGTGGGGTGTATGTAATGTTGCTGTCCTATAAAAACCTTATAAGCCCAGATTTTTTCACATCAGATATTGTTCACATCAGCTGCCCTTAATACTGAACATTTCATGATGGACTAATGGACTGACAGAAAGGATCCAGAAGCAGGCTTACTTGCAACAACGTCTTCTTACATTAACTCACATTACAGTTAACAACTCCTATGTAGTTACAGTTTTGGAGATAACAGTTTTGTTATGACAACTATGATATGATTTTAAAATGTGATTGATATCTTCAGACGTCTGGAGAATGCTCTGGATGATTTTGTGCCTTCATAAAACAGCAAACTGAAAAATGATTAAATTATCCATTTATTATTCATAAAGTATGTATTTCTTTAAGATTATAGGGTCAGCCCCAGATATGTTTCACTTAATTGGCTTTGGAGTTGGAGCACACATTGCTGGCACAGCTGGCTACAACCTGAATGGAGCTATTGGAAGAATAACAGGTATGTTAATAGATGGTTTATTAATTTTTGGATAACTATATTGCCTTTTTTCAAAGATTAGCGTTAGTGCCATTGGTAGAAGTACTTGACACAATCTCACAGCACATGCACATGATGAAGGCTACAATGAGTGTAAAATTAACCATTAACTTATAGTCGTAAGCAAAGGTTTAGGTTCCCCTCATCAAATTACCTTTTTTGTTGATAAGTGAAAATAAGTACACATCCACCACAGAGAAAACCCTTCGGCACATTTTAACACGTTTTAATTTAATATATTGGGGAAAAATAACATGTAAAATGTGGCCTGTCCGAAATGTATGGCACATTTTATATTTTATGTTTTACTTTTTTTTCCATTATGTTAAGCAAATAAATAGAAACTGTACACAAAAATTTGCAGAAAAAGGTCATATTTAATTTCGTTTTCTTTTTTTTTTAGAAAAATATAATTTTACCACAGGTATTCAAGCTTTGGTGTATGGCTTTCTCTTGTCTTGTGCCTTTGTTAGCGTGATGGATAAAGATGCGATTATTCTATTATGTTTGTTATTACACTTAGGTTTGCTCAGTTTAGAATCTGCCATATGTGCCATTCATGAATGTTTTCTCTCATCAGGCCTCGATCCTTTTGCACCTGTGTTCTCAGAAGCAAACAATTCTGTCTACCTAGATTACAATGACGGACAGTATGTCGACGTGATCCATAGTAATTTCAATCGTGAGACATGTCCACCTTAAAGAATCAGAATATCTATATGTATATAACTTTGGTTTTGAATTAAGAATAACCATGTAATTCTTTCCAGCTACTGAGCCTATGCCTGCCCTTGGTTTCTCCAGCCCTCTTGGCCATGTTGATTTCTACATTGGCACTGGATTTCAGTTACCAGGCTGTCCCAGAGGCCTCTTTAACAGTAAGCGTGACTTTTTGTTAGGCACTAATATTTACTACCAAATGGAACTTCAAAGAATATTCTTGTACAGATTGTTTGCATTCTTCTCTCCCTACCATTGGGCCCCTCTAATGGAAGTAACCTCTATTGGTCCTTGGACCCATACTGAGGGGGAGCCAGTGTTCTGTAGTGTTTCCGAGATGCCACTTTATGTTATGAAAATCGGTGAAAAATATTTTTGCCCCTTGCCTCTATAAACAAAATACAGTCCCCTGTTGTTCCACTCGTCCATACGCTCTGTATTATATACAGCCTAAGTTCTATAAAGGATAAAGACATATCTTTAAATTTACTTGCAAAATGTATACATACTTTAATGCAAAATTTAATTAAGATTGGTCATTATATATTTAATACATATATTTCCCCCCTTTTTTATATTCTGAAAAAATTTTAAATCCATCTTGATCTTGACTTTGTCTGGCCTACTCCTATATAGACATATAGAGCCATTGTTTAGATACAAGTCAGAGCTAAAGCTCTGAACACAAAATATACTTCTTCTCTCCTCTCTATTTTAATAAAGATCGCTACAAATTTTGGTTTCTGTGATTGGACTCAAATAGACAATCTGACCTTTAGACTATTGTTTAGGCCATACCTCTCAAGTTTTAAGCGTCAGCATTTTATTTAACATTTTTTTTATTATTATTTACCTTTTTATGCAAAAACGTGTTCCTTTCCTGTGGATCTTCATGCTTTCTAGTGATAAGTGGGCATTGAGGTGGAAAAGGTTGAAAATCCCTTATCTAAACTATGCCTCAGATATGGCAAAGAATATAAAGAATTCACTTTTTGTTTTCTCTCTCTCTGTCATTCTACACCTTTCTGACTTGTGCCTCATCATTCTGTCGCAGGGGAAGAATACCTGCTGTGCAGCCATCATCGCGCTCACCAGATTTATACCAGCTCCATCCAGGCATCCTGTCATCATTTAGCCTTCCCCTGCCAGTCAGTGGCAGATTTTCAGCAAGCAAAGTGTACATTCTGTTCTTCGCCTGGTCTTAACTCCTGCCCAGAAATGGGTGAGAGACATTAAATTGTCTGACATTCTGTGTCACTAAATCAGACTCATTTATTTAGTTATGTGTTCCTTTTCATAGTTCCCATACTCTTTTTTTCAGGCTATGACATCACTTGGCTGCCTTCCAGTCGTCCACTTCCATTTCAACCCATGGCTGCATTCTTGACCGTTACATCTGCTCCCCCTTACTGCGGTTAGACAACAAACAATAAGAGTGTGTGATCTAATATTAATTAGCCTCTTTAGCCTGAAAAAGTAAAATGAAATTTTGATCTAATGTTGTATACATTAGTCACTCCTCTCTTGTTGGAGCTGAATCTTGGAGGGATTCTCTCAATAGAGGCCAAGCTCTACATCCAGCTTATGGGGAATGCTATCAAGACATCAACCGTGTTGGTGTCAGGGTGAGAAAACATCCTTTTTGTTTCATCCAGGTAATTGTTAAAATGCTAGCCTTTACTAGTAAATAATAGCCTTTACCAAACTGTGTACTTTCATTTGTTTTGTTCTTAGGCATCATATGACAGAGTTTGCTGCAAATAAGGTCTATCAGTTCATGATATCAGCAGACAGTGATGGCGATTTTCATACCGTTTCACTCGAGTTCAGCACTCAGAGGTTGCTTTACCTCAAGTGGAGAAAAAGGAGGATTTCAATTCATCATCTTTTGCTGTCCTACCTGCCCAAAGACAGAAAGTAGGCTAATTTATTAACACCTTATCAAATAGATGTGTATAAATTACAAATACTAGTATTATTCAGAATAAGGAACCTTGTGACTGCTACGTATACCACCATTTAAACATTTGGAATCACTCTTTTATATAATTGAATAACAATTATAAGCAACGTTGCCCTTGACCAAATTCAATTTTTGTATCGATTTTCTAAGTTAACACATCCTGTACAGAGAACACACTTCTGCACATTTTAATGATCAATTATGTTTCTATAATCAGTTATGTTTAAATGATCAATTATGTTTATGTTCACAAATCAGCAAAGCATGTAATTTGACTGGAGGTGTTCAGACTTTTAAATATGACTATGTATAAAATGATACTGATGCTAAAATTAAAAATGTTAATAGGTTTCAAAAAATGTAGAAAGCTGTAAAAATTAAGAAATTTTCAATGATAAACAGAGCTGTAGATGATTCTATAATAGCTGTGAAAGCTGCATATGATGAATAATAAACTTACAATAAAATTAATACACAAATGCTTCATATTCAAAAAAGTGGTTACCAAATCTTGCTGATCAAATAGCTATTCTTAGTAATTTTATGTAAAGAAATAAATCTATAAATCTATAGACTGTAAATTGATAATTACAATTTACAAATTAGTAAACTTTTTATATACTTTTTCCATGTGATAACTTCTCATTCCCAAATTCAACTGTGAATAAACCATCAATTTATGTTTTGGTATACACCAATCAGCCATTACATCAAAACCACCTTGTTTCTTTACTCACTGTCCATTTTATCAGCGCCATCTACCATATTGGTGCACTTTATGGTTTTGCAATTACAGACTGTAGTCCACTTGTTTCTTTACATACTGTGTTAGCTCACTTTCACCCTGTTCATCAATGGTCAGGACCCCCATAAGACCACTACAGAGCATGTATTATTTGGGAGATAATTCTCAGCCCTGCAGTGCAGTGCACTAGCACCAGTGCAACACACACAAACATGCCACTGTTTGACAGACACAATAGTACTGCTGGAGTTTTTAAACACTGTGTCATCTACATGTCCAAACTGTTACACTCCTACCTTGTTGATTCACATTGTAGATGTAAAGTCACTGACAATAGCTCATCTGTGGTTGCACAGTTTGTGTTAGTCATCCTTCAGTCCTTCATCAGTGGTCATAGGACGCTGCTCACAGGGTGCGGTTGGCATGTGGCAATGGATTTAAACTCATACCACGCAATCCACTGAGGTGGTCCTATGGGGGTCCTTATTTTTTTAATAATATTTTTTAAATAATGTTTAAAATGTTATATACTCACAGACCAGATCTATATATCTCTCCCTACAGGATTGCTTACCAAGCATGGAATGTAACAGCAGTAGAAAACCAAAGAGTTGAAGTTGTCCTACAGAAGATTTGGGTGTAGCAAGACTGAGAACAAAAGTTGCATTACCTTTTGTGTTTTTATTTCTGTTTAGGCCAATTTGCCCAACTTTTCTTAACTTTTTTTCTCTGTGTCTACTGTTCTTCAAAACCAGTTCTGGACAGCCATTCCAAGGGCACAGTTTTATGCTTTTAAACATCTAATTAACTTGTTCCCAACCCTGGTTCTGGAGTATCCCCTGCCCAGCATGATTTAGTGTTTTCCTTGTGCCCAACATAAACTTGTTAATGAGCTGATTAGTTGCATCAGGTGTTTTGGGAGCAAGGGAAACACTAAAATGTGCAGTGCAGGAGGTACTTCAGGACCAGGGTTGGGAACCACTGATCTAATTCAACTTACATACGCCTCCATGACTTGTGCAGTGTTTTTAAATATATTTCCCAACAATGCTCAGATGACTATTCATTTGGCTTATTTTTGTGAACATAACAATTACTGGGACCCAACCTGAAAAAATTTAAATGACTAAAACTTTTTTGGATAAACAAACACTGATGCCTGGTTGAATACTTCAACAAACCTGAAAACTGAAATTAACTGATTTTCAAATTGATAACATTTACCATTATAAATGACCAAATTGTTGCCACAACACAGCAGGATTTGAAGATAAATGTGTAAATAATGATATTTTCCACAATTCTTCATACTGTTGGCAAGAAAAGTACTTTGATGCTAATTATAAATATATTTTACAAAATTGCAAAATATCCTCCAGCTCGAAACATTTACATTTACTTTTTTTTATTAACGGGGCAAGTGTTACAAGTTAAGGGATTCACCAGATAAAGGTAGTACAAACTCATTTGTTTATTAAAAAGGGAAAAAGATAAATACTGGCAATGAGAAACACATAGGTGGACACTGTGGTAATAGGAATTCTTTTTTTTTTACAACTCTAGAATAGAAAAATGAATAATTAAACTTTTTTGCTGTCTCATGTAGAGCTCCCTTTGTTTTTACCAAACTATATGAATACTTTTTCTCTGTATAAGACTGACACTCAAATATTTATGGACATGGTTGGAAGCTGTTTCATGAGAATTACCCCTTTATAATAGCAAGAGCTATATAATAACACTGAGTATTGCCTGGTCTCTAATAAAGAAATACCTGGTGTCACTCCACCAGTGTGTAAGTCATCTCTTGCTATTTTTATTGATCAAATGTTTAGGTAATGTTTGTTTATTTGTTTGTTCAGCTACCATAGACACAGTATACTGGTACTCCATGCTATCAGGCATTGTATCCAATTCAGTTTCCCCTCAAATTCACGTTCACTTTGACAAGTCAGGTCCTCAGGCCCACGCACTCACTGAACACAAAACAATGCCAAACAACACTTGAACTACGCAAAGCGAAAATGTTTAAAAAGTGCATAAAGTATTTATCAGTACAATTGTTTATTGTTTACTCGAACTAAAAACAATATATATCACGAAATCTGAATTATGCCGTGGCATTGTGTGACATGAAAAATAAATTAACAAATAAATAAAATAGCACGATTGCTTTCTGATTAAGAATGACTAGGTTCATAATAAACATTGCTTTATTGGCTAACACAAACGTATTATTGCTGGATTTGTTGTTGTTAATGTGATACAGACCGAAGTATGGTCTATATAAGTCATCAGATGTGGAGACAGTTTTCAGGGAAACACTTTTACCCAGGAGCAATATCTAGATCTGTTTCTTCTGCCAAATACAGCTAAGTGAAGCTCCATAATTGACAATATACATGTAGATGAAATATATTGTCAACTTGATTTATGATGCACGAGCAATAATTACTTCAGAACTAAGTAGATCAATTAAATTGGGCAACATGTACAGACAGGAAAAAGCCCTGTCCAAGTCATATCCTCCTCCCAGAAACAGCAAAAATAAGCTCCATAATAGGCATAATATTAAATAATATTAATATTAACAAATTAAATATCTAGTTATAATTATAATAATTACCAATATAATGATTCATAATCAATTATTACAATTATCAATCTGGAACTAAGCAGATCAGTATTTAATTATGGGGAACATATATATATACAGGTAAAATGCCCTGCCCAAATCTGCTCCTCTTCCTATAAACAGCTCAGAAACGTATTCTGAAACTAAGTTGACAGTTTCCATTAAAGAGAACAACTGTAGACAGGGAATAATCTGTCCAACTCTGTTGAGAGAAGCTCCATTATGAATGTCATTCATGTAATGCACATGAATGAGAATATAAATGTCCCTCATTTGCCTTTGCAGACCAGTGTTTAATTAAGAAGAACAATTATAATCTGTTAAAATGCCTTTTTCAAATCTGTTCTCCTTGCTAATTACAGCTAAGAGAAACTCCATTATGGAAGATTAATGTCATAGAATAATTCTAGAAGCAGCTGTTTCTGAACATCATTTGTTTGAATAAAATATGTAGTCATTTTAAACACTGATAAATTTTGATTTTTATTCTGTGACTTAAACATTGTAACATCTAGCTGTATTTGGGGCAAAGGAACAGATTAAGAACAGCTTTGTACCTGTCTCTATATGTTGTCCATAATTTAACATTGAAATGCTTAGTTCCAAAGTAACTGCTCGTGCATCATAGATTAATATGACTATATGTTTCATCCACATGTATAGTATCCTTTACTGAGCTTCTCTTAGAATGTATTTTACTGGAGAAACAGATCTGCACATAATAGTTTATCTGAGGAAAAATATTTCCCCAAAAACAGTGTTAAGAACAACAGATCCAGTAATTATATGTTTGTGTTGGTCAGTAAAGCAATATTTACTATGAACGTAGTCATTTTATATACAGTAATAAACCTGTAGCGTCTTTTTTTATTTCCTTGCGTGTCACATGATGCCGAGATTCCGTTATAAATATTATTTTTAATTCGAGTAAACAGTAAACAGTCATACTGATAAATACTGTATGCACTGTTCATCGCCGATTGGGTAAATACATGCTGCCGTGCAACCATTTTGAACCTTTTTGCTTCCCGTAGTTCCAGTTTTGTTTGGCGTTTGAATGCGTGTGCACGAGGACCTGATTTGTCAATGGGAACGTGAATTTGAGGGGAAACATTACGTGGACGGACCGATGTGTTGCTGTGGTACTGCTCTGTTATGTATCCGCCCGTTTTGTTTTGCTTTTCCCCTCAGATATGTTGCTACTAAATATGTGGTTTAAAATAGTATCTTGTCCTGTTTTAAACAATCGTTTTTTCGGAGATGATTTGAAATATTTCTGTTTAGCTGAAACTGAAGTTAGCTAGCTAGTTAGCGTTAACTTGCTAAGCGTAGAGTAGGTGAAGGCAGAGGCAGAGGCTATATCTATGGGCTACCTTAGTAGCTAAATAAATAATTTAGCCTGTTTACTAACAGTAGGTAACGTTAGCTAGCTAACTTATTTTCATTATTGTTACAGACAGATAAGCACAATGGCGTGACAGTTAGTCTCCATTACTTACACTAGGTTATCGTAGGTTACGTTTTTCTTTTGCTACCTTTTACTTATACAGTTGGAAGAGATTAACGTTACATGTCTGAGAGGCGATCCGACTCCCAGGACTGGGACTGGAGCAGTCCACAGTGCCGCGCACAGCTAGATGAGATCTTTTTCCGCCAGCATGACTATATCCAGGCCAGCAGCCCCGAACATAAGGAGTTTTGGACTTTCTTCGAGCGGTTTCAGCGGTTTAAAGCCAGGAAGGAGATGGCAGGATCAAAATACAACAAGAGTAGCGTTAAGGCTGAGTCGCATGAAGGCAAAGCTCGGAAGAGGAGTGGAGGTGGCGCCGTGGATCTTGGGCTCCCGAAAGAATACGATGCCCGGTACAAGATCAATGTGTCCGTGTGCAGCAGAGATGTGGAAGATAGGTTTGGGAGCTCGGGCCATAGACGGCACAGGGAGCCGTCCGGCCCAGGCCGACAAGAGATCGCAGACTGTCGCCTGGCTCTGCTCCATTTTCTGGACTTTACTCAGAAACAGAGCTTTGGCAAACTTGCCAAATTGCGGCAGGAGCAGAAGAATCTGCCCATCTTTCAGTACCGTGACAGGATTGTGGAGCTTGTGAGGAGCCATCCAGTGGTGGTGGTTGCGGGCGACACGGGTTGTGGGAAGTCCACTCAGGTGCCCCAGTATTTGCTGTCGTCCGGCTTTAGCCAAATAGCCTGCACCCAGCCTCGCCGCATCGCCTGTATCTCCCTCGCTAAGAGAGTCAGCTTTGAGAGTCTCAACCAGTATGGCTCCAAGGTAAGAGGGCATTTGTACATTTGATCTACTGGTGAGTAACTGTCACCAAATAGAATTCTGTTTGTAGCTATCATCTTACTTTATAAAGTTGAATCAAAAAGATTAAGGGCTAATTGGAGCTATAAGTGCTTCAGTCAGATTTATACCAAGAAGTACTTGATGGCATCACACCTCATGGTAGTTGCACACAACACACAGAGATGGTGTAAAAGCAAAGATGGTTCATACAACCAGGAACTATGAGGATTATAAAAATTCCATTCATTGTGCAGTGCATGTAGGTTTCATAAAGCCTCAATCAAAAAAATCTTGATATACAATTGACAGTAGCATTATGTAATCTATAGGCCTCTTTTGTCTTGCGTGTCTGTCCTGAAGGTTGGCTACCAGATCCGCTTTGAGACTAGTCGCACACCAGCTACCAAGCTCCTGTTCCTGACTGAGGGTCTGCTCCTCAGGCAGATACAGCAGGATGTGTCGCTGGCCCAGTACCAGGTGCTAATCGTGGACGAAGTTCATGAGAGACACCTGCACTGTGACTTTCTGCTGGGTGTACTGCGCACTCTGCTTGCCCTTCGGCCCGACATGCGCCTGGTTCTCATGTCTGCCACCATCAATATCAAGCTCTTCTCAAGCTACTTCAGCAATGCTCCTGTGCTTCAAGTTCCAGGCAGACTCTTCCCCATTCAGGTGAGCCATAAGTGGTTACAGTGAGAATAACCTTGGAGAGAGAAGTGAAATAGGCTAGAAGAGAGATATAACTGGTACCATGGTGTGGGGACGACTGCACTGTATCAGTGAAATTGCTGTATACCTTTTTTTACATTAGCATTGTAACAAATAGTCAATAGATACCAAATTTTAGCTAAATCAGATCTTGGCTCTCAAGTTAAGATACTAAGTTAAAATACCGAATGGATTGGTTACTGTATGTTGCTAATAGGTGCTTGTGAGGGAGGTATTACAAGCATTTACTTCACCTGGGTTTGTTTAGGTAATATACCAGCCCATCCCACCAGAGGAGCAGGTGTCCAAATCAGAGAAACTGGACCCATGGCCATACCTGCGCGTGCTTCAGGGTATAGACCAGCGCTATCCGGCCGATGAGCGAGGTGACCTGCTGTTGTTTCTCAGTGGTGTTGCTGAGATTTCCACAGTCATGGAGGCCTGTCAGACTTATGCTGCACACACAAACCGCTGGATCATATTGCCCCTCCACAGCACCCTGTCACTAGCCCAGCAAGATAAGGTAGAACACTTCTGTAATCTCAGTCAATTGTTTACCAACAACAAAGTGTTCAATGTCAGAAGAAACAAAGTAGAATTTAAGTAGGAAGGTGGTATATAATTGTTTTTTTATACTTTTGCCTTGAATAAAGGTTAAGTATACCTCTTGTTTTGAGTAACAATTCCAGAACAAACTATATTTCACAGATATGTCACAGATATTGTTGACTTTACCTAATGTAGTAAATGCTAGGTCTTTATAGAAGCTAATTATACGGCAGTTGACGCATGTACTACTTCTGAATGTCCGCTATAAAGAATTTACATTAATAGCTATTTATGTGTATGACTTTTGCCTTTAAGGTGTTTGACATCGCGCCTTCAGGGGTGAGGAAGTGCATAATTTCCACCAACATAGCAGAGACCTCGGTGACAATTGATGGGGTGCGCTTTGTGGTCGACTCAGGTATAGTAACTGCTGAGTGAAAGAAAAAGAAGCATGAGGATACGCTCTCTAATTCTGTAGTGTTTTGACGGATTGGCTACACACTAAATGACGTAATTCATGTAAACACTCAATTTGAGACCCTACACTGCAAATTGTAGAAAAAGATCGGGAAATGTGAAATTATTAATCTTGTTTCAAAGTTAAATACAAGTTTCTATTATGGTATTCTTAAATTGATCATGAATCCATCAGGAAATCTAGAGTGCCAATTTGTACAATTCTCTTTCACTAAAAAAACTTGTTTCAGATTCAGTGGCACAGACTCAATAGGGCTGGGTGATTCGTTGACATAATCAGTGGCTGTGTTCGAAATAGCCTACTACATACATCTAGCGTACTGATTCTGCCCAAAAAAAAGTCGTAAGTAGTATGCAGTACATGACAAACATGAATTTCTCCTGTGCACCAAAGATATGTGGATGACATGCTGCTCGGATTTTTCCAGTATGCTACTAGAGCTATTGTTGCCACCCGATTTGAACCAGAAACCTGATTTGGACTATACATGTGCAACAAAGGTTTGTTATTTCCGATATCATTTTACGGGTTACTTGGATGCTTGCAGGCTGGGCACTCCCCTTTCCTGTAGTATGGGACACGGCTTGTGTCGTATGCTGGATACTCTACAGTATACTACTGATGAAGAGCACTATGCAGTATACAGTGTATATACCCTGTTATACAACAGTTAGTTCCAGCCACGCAAGCTGATTGGTTGAGAAGTGTTCTAACCGTGCTGTTATTTCGCCATAAGAGCACGTTTTTTTTCACAAACACTGTATCACTCTGCTGAGACGCTGTTGCTAAGCAACAACTTTGACAGCTGTAGGAGACGCTCAAGCTCAAGCTCATTTGAACATTTTTACTTCTTACTTTGCGCACAAACGGAAAATGGATACTTTGAAGATTACATTTGACCTACGGCCGATTTGATCAGACTCTGAAGATGAGAGTACACTAAATTCCGAAACTGTCATTACCACTGAGCAAGATTTTCAGTCAGCAGCTGTTACAGAAGAACACCTAAACAACCTGGAATTAGCCAGAAATGAACCAAATACCATTCGCCGAACAAAATGGGCTGTAAAATGCTTTACAGACTGGCTGGAACAAAACAAGGAGCTGGAGAACAAACTGCTGACGGTGCAGCGAGTGAGCAGAGTTCGTTACTCTGACGTAGCAACAAGCTGCTTGTTAAGGAACTATAATTTTGGTGGAAAGAATTGCTAACATTAAAACATGCCACGTTCACGGCCCAATTTATTTATTTCCTACTTTATTTATTTAACTGTTGTATAAAAGCAATAGAACACTCAAGGTTGTGTGTAACAGCCTTGATGTTATTTCGTGATAACACAGAACCTCTCGTGTTCTATTGCTTAAATACAGTATGCAGTATACAGTACTACATTTTACTGTATACAGTACTATTGCTTAATTACAGTATGCAGTATGTTATTTTGAACACGGCCAAGGTCTTTGATTGCGAAGATATGTCGGGTTTGCATACCCCAGGAAACATACAACATGGTCACAGCGTTTTTTACACTTTGTACTTTTTTACAGCATTGTCAGAAGGTGGTGCTGTTTACATTGTCTGAGCAAAGTTGTCACAGCATGGTCACATCGTCATTATTAAGTAACTTTGCTGTATGGTATCATGACTATTTATTGGTAACTTAGCAAAACTCCATGGTGATTCTTGCACAACATGATGGAACTTCTGAGGATACTAGGAAGCTCTGATAACAAACCGACAACATTGCCGCTGTGTTGTCAGATAACATTGTCACAACTTTTTGAAGAATTACATTTCAACGTTGTGACAACGTTGTGGGCACCAAAACAATAGATTGTCACAACGTTGCCACAATGTAATTGTTTGCTGGGATATTCTGCAAATGCATCGCAATGAAATGGCGATGAAATGAGATGGCTATGCCAAATGAAAACGTGGATTTTCACGCAAACCGGACCACTTTGTCAAGATGGCAGTAAGAGAGCACTGTAAGTCCTGTTTATTATTTCTCCCTTCCCAAGCAATTATAATTAATTTCATAACACAACAGTGACGTGGAAGTTAGACTAATTTTAAAATGTGCCACTATCATTATTCTAATGTGCTTAATGTCACTTTTTACAGGGTGAGGCAAAGCAGTGTGGAGGACTTTGTCCACAAAAGAGCCCACATTTTTCTCTCTGATGTTCAAACAGTTATAAATTTTTTCATTCTTCAGTGGTCCAATATCATCTCTCTGTCTCATTGTCTGTCTGTCTGTTTATTTGTCAATGTTGACTGAAATTTCACTTGCAGTCCTGGTTGTGATTTCAGAACAGTCAGTTTTCTGTTTTAAGATGTATACTCTGAGATTAAGGACCAGTTTTACATTAAATAGGGATTAGGGCCTATTTAAAAATGAGACAACTTATTTCAAGTAACTGCATAATCATACTCCACTAATATTAAGTAATTTCCACTTAAATTAGTGATTTGTTTTCTTGTTCTTTGGCCTTCATTTTTTCAGTGTGCTGAAATTTAATAATGCAAAAAAATTAAGTATTATTTGCTCATATTCAGTGTATTTCACATATTTCTGCAGCAAGTCTGATCTGAAGTAATTTGATTTAAAAAAACAGCATTTTTTGCTTACTTTTGCAAACCTTTGAACACTTATCAAAGCCTGAATCAAAGCATTTGAATATTAGAACCACATGTTGAAATTAAATTATTCAGGGGCAGTTTTGGGCAGCCCTGTACAAAAGGATGTTGAATCTTCAATTATGTCTTTCCTTCTTCTAAAATGTTACTTCCCAGTTTAATTTTGACTGTTTTGTCCTCTGACCATTGTGCGACCGGTAGGTAAAGTAAAGGAGATGAGTTTTGACCCGAAGGCGAAGATGCAGAGACTTCAGGAGTTCTGGATTAGCCGTGCCAGTGCAGAGCAGAGGAAGGGCCGTGCAGGACGAACTGGACCAGGAGTCTGCTACCGGCTGTACGCTGAGTCAGATTATGAGGCCTTTGCCCCATACCCAGTCCCTGAGATCCACAGAGTGGCTCTAGACTCATTAGTGCTCCAGGTGTGATGCTCTCTCATCCCTCTTCTCATAGCTTAACCAACAGCAGGCATTTAGGAAACACAGTTGCTGTGCATATAGTTACCCACTCCCACCAGTATAAGTCTTTGGGAGCAAGGTAATACTGCATCACATTTACTTTGCAGCATTTAGAAGCTTGTGAGTGAGTTCATGCGTGTTGTTGGGAATGCCACTTCATTCCTGTGTGTGTGTTTTTGCTGTTGGCCCATTTTAAATAATGTCTATGCCTATATGTCACACTAAAACATGTTAGTGAGATGGTTCCTTTCTGTCAATAAAGGTGGCTTTTGGCTGCATTAAGTGACAAAACTCACCAGACTGTCTGAAGACAGGTAGTGTCCGGCTTGCAAGACTAAAAGAAATGTTGTAATGTCTGAGGTTGGTTAGGACGCTCACAGCAAAAATAAAACATCCTGACTGATTAGAGCACTCATTTGCATACTGAAGCATATATCAGTATTTCAAAGCTCAGTATGACTCAATAACAATTAAAGAATATTTTGTGCAGCCTTACTTACTACAAGTGATACGTAGCAGATTTTTTTTGTTGATTTAAATTATGCACTAATATCACTGCAGTGAAAGTGCAGACTGAAACATAGAAGAGAGTGTGCAGAAGTGCCTCCTTGTTTTTCACTTTCATGTCATCGATCCCCATTAAAAGTGAGGTGTGTGTGTGTGTTTGTTTTTGTGCAGATGAAGAGTATGGGTCTAGGAGATCCTTTGTCTTTTTCCTTCATAGACCCCCCTCCATCCTCCAGCATTCAGACAGCTGTGACATACCTGAAGGAACAAGGGGCACTGGATGTCCATGGACAGCTCACACCCATCGGAAAGCTGTTGGCCCAGCTCCCTGTGGATGTGGTTATTGGTATGAGACACCAAAGTGTTTTTGTTTTCTTAATGAACAAGAACATTTTTTAAACTACTGAAAAGTATGCCAAGTAAAGGCATTTCACTCTAAAACAATTTAATTGATTAGTTATACAGTGTTGTGCTAAAGTCAGTTTCTTTTAATCAATTTATTTATTCAATTCAAAGGTATTTATTTTTTTCAGTGTCAGGACAAAAGCAGAAAACACATTTAACAGTAAATATATGAACACAGAACACAGAATTTTTTTTCAATATTTTTGTGCCCAAACTGCCTTCATTACAGCTATTTTTTAGGAGACTTACTTTCATTTCTTTAAAGAAATACGCAGGGTATCATCTTTTTTTCTTATTTACAAATTGCAAATTTAGACTCATCAGTCCATAAAATCTTATTTCACATGTCAGTTATCAAGTTTCAGTGTTCTAGTTGAATTTTTTTTATTTTCTGTCTGTGATCTTTTCTCAGTAACAGCTTCTTGACAACTACACATCCTTTCAGACCCATAGCATTGAGTTGTGTTCTCACAGTGAAAGGATACACAGAAACATCTGAATGTGGACAAACTAGATACTGATAGATTTGATATTGTACTTAGTATTTGAAAAATTAACGACGTACACTTTTTTTTTTCCAGTTTTGACTGGAAATTGAATAACTTTTGCACAGTTATTGTAAATCTTGTGGACAAGCTGTCCGATGTTTCTAGATTGAAACTATGGGTTTGTGCATGTTTGTTTTTAAATAACATGAATTCATTAAACTAGTGAAACTTATAGTTCACTATATATATTCATTTTAATCAATAATGAATCATTTAGAAATGTTATGGTCAAGCAGTCAGATAGTTCTGGATTGAATATGTGTTTGTTTGTGTATGTGTGTGTGTTGTGTGTTTTTAGGTAAAATGCTAGTCCTGGGTTCACTGTTCAACCTGGTGGAGCCAGTGTTGACTGTAGCTGCAGCACTTAGTGTTCAGTCGCCGTTCCTCCGCAGTGCTCAGCACAACCCCGACTGCTCCACTGCACGTCAGCCCCTGAACAGTGACCTGGGAGACCCCTTCACCCTGCTCAACACCTTCAATGCATGGGTGCAGGTCAGCCAGATACAAGCAGCTTACCTAGATAGATTCAAGGGGAATTCTTAATTACTTCACTTCTTAACAATTATTTTGAAAAATTGGTGGGATTGCCCTAAGACTGATAGCTGAAATCTTTAAAAATGAGTTTGGTGAAAATATGAAAAATATATAAACATAGCAACATGGCTATGTATGTACTTAAGTCAAAGTAAAAATGCTACAAAAAGGCAGCAGTAGTTGCACCAAACTAATTAAAAACAGTTAATAGTTATTTTTAGAGCAGCTAAAGACATTCTGTCTCTATTGATAATTGTGCATGGTGTTTTTTTTATAGGTCTATTGATATTATGTCTAGTTATATTGCTAATTGTATTTGACTTTTTGGTCCTCTGTAGGTGAAAGGGGAGAGGGGAGGTGGCTCCAGGAAGTGGTGCAAAAGAAGAGGACTGGAGGAGCAGCGACTGTATGAGATGGTCAATCTGAGACGACAGTTTAAGGTAAACTGAAGGGTGTGTGTGTGTACACATTATATATATATATATATATATATATATATATATATATATATATATATATATATATATATATATATATATATATATAATAGTATAATAGTATAATAATGTATATAAATATATATTTATACACAAAAACACACAGTAAACACAAAACAGTTTTCAAATGGTACTTTTCTTCATTGAATGAGCTATTCAAAAAAAGCTGTCTAATACCAAATACCCCAAGTGAAATTATAAATGCCCCCTTAGTTATGCATCAACCAGTTAACCAAATTTAGTTGATAATTAGGATCAATTAGGATATAATTAAACAAACCTACACTTCATAACTGCCAGCCCTGTTGAATCTAAATATCACTTAAGTAGAACTTTCTACTTTCCAGCACTGTGAAGTAGGCTAAAAGGTCGTAACCGGTTGTACATTATGCCATGGCCAAAAGAAATTTTGAAAGCGATGAGAAAGTTATTGAAATACAAACTCAATTCCAAAACGTTGGGACAGTAGGTAAAATGCAAATGAAAACAGGTAGCAATGATTTGCAAAACCTTTTTGAACTGTGTTCAATTGAAAAAAGTAAAAAGACAAGATATTTTATTTTTAACTATTTAACTTACTGTTTTTTATATATATCTGCTTATTTTAAATTTGATGCCTGTAGCACATTCCAAAAAAAGTTGGGACAGGGCCATATTTACCTCTGTGTTACTGCAGTTTTCCTTATGTTCGGTAATCATTTGAAAAACTGTTGTTGTGACAGTAGTGAATCTTCTTTTTTCATTCTTGCTTGATATAACACTTCAACTTCTAAACAGTTGGGGGTCTCCGTTGTCAAATACTACGCTTTATAATATGCCACGCTTTCAATGGAAGACGGGTCTGTACTACAGGCAGGCCAGTCTAGCACCTGCACTCTGTTACTACGAAGCCACACTGTTTTAGTGTAGCTTGCTGTTGTCTTGCTGAAACAAGCAGGGGCATCCTTGAAAATTAAATGGCACCATATGTTGCTCCAAAATGCATGTGTAACCCTCAGCATTAATGGTGCACTCACAGATGTGCAAGTTACACTATATGGAGAAAAGTATTGGGACACCCTTCCTAATCATTGAGTTCAGGTGCTTCAGCCATATCCATAGCTAACAGGCGGGTACAATTAAGCACATAGCCTTGCAGTCTCAATAGACAAACACTGGCAGTAGAATGGGTCATTCTGATGAGCTCAGTGACTTTAAAATGACACTGTCATAGGATGCCTCCTCTGCCACAAGTCAGTTTGAGAAATCTCTGTCCTGCTAGATCAGCCCCTGTCACCTGGAAGCATTATTATTGTGAAATGGAAGTCCCTAGGGGCAACAACAGCTTAGCCATAAAGCAGTAGGCTACTCAAACTCACAGAGTGGTGCTGCCGAGTGCTAAAGCGCACAGTGCCTATCCTCTGTTGAATCATTCACTAAAGAGTTACAAATTTCCTCTGGAAGCAACATCAGCAAAAGAACTACGTGTTAGGAGCTTCACGAAATGGGTTTTCTTGGCCGAGCAGCTATACACAAGCCCAAGATCAGAATGCACAATGCCAAGCATAGAGGGGAGTGGTGTAAAGCACGCTGCCGCTGGACCTGTGGAAACTCATCATTCTTCATTCTCTATCTGGCAGTCTTATGGACGAGTCTAGGTTTGGCGAATGCCAGGAGAACATTACCTGCCTCACTGCATTGTGCCAAATGTAAAGTTTGGTGGAGGAGCGATAATACTATGGGGTTGTTTTTCAGGGGTTGGCCTAGGCCCCTTAGTTCCAGTGAAGTTAAATCTTAATGTTTCAGCATACCAAGACATTGTGAACAATTGTGCACTTCTAACTTTGTGGGAACAGTTTGGGGAAGGCCCTTTTCCAGCATGACTGTGCCCTAGTGCGCAAAGCAAGGTCTATAAAGGCATGGCTGGGTGAGTTCGGTGTGGAAGAACTTCACTGGCCCACAAAGAGCCCTAACCTCAACCCCATCAAGCACCTTTGGGATGAACTAGAATGGAGATTGCGAGTCAGGCCCTCTTTTCCAACATCAGTGTCTGACAAATGCTCTTCTGGATGAATGGGCAAAAATTCCCACAGGCAGATTCTAAAATATTGTTAAAAGCTTCCCAGAGGACTAGAAGCTGTTATAGCTGCAAATGGGGACCAACTCCATATTAATGCCTATGGATTTAGAATGGAATGTCATAAAAGCTCCTCTAGGTGTAATGTGTAGGTGTCCCAATACTTTTGTCCACATGCTGTACCTCTATATAGAGCACATGCCTTTGACACTAACATACCACACAGCAAAACAGACACTGACTTTTGAACTGTACATTGATAACAGTCAGGATGGTCTGTTTCCTCTTTGGCCCTAAAGTTAATCTTTTCTTTTGCCAAGGAAGAGAGCAGGAGAGTCTGAAAACAGCAGCTTAAAACAGAGCTTTATACTTTGTCCTAGTTTGGGTCATAAAAGGCCAAAGACAGTGTTCTCGTAGAATTGGATCCTATCATAAAAAAACAAAACAGAGTTGGCTTTCTTGGGTACTCTGATCCTATTGTAAATACTTTAGTATGGTAAAAAGTGTGTTCTGTCCCAGGAAAGCCGGAATTATACCCTTAGGTGGGGTCATAAAATGCGGCTTGGACTGTTGTAAATGAATACTCGTTAGCCAAATTTTAAGGAAAATTTAAAACCATGGAAACATAACAATGAGGAATAAAAACAGATAAAGAAAATAAAACAAAATCCCAACAGTTCTTGCCCTTGAACGCAACTGGAGCATTAAATATAACCAGTGTTACTACTATGCTGTATTTCGTTCCACCATTGGTTATTAATTTTTTCATCTTCATTTTACGTCATGGAACAGGCCTTTACATTTCAGTTCATTTAAGATCAGTTACCAGTACATTAGGTGTAATGGCTTAACATAATATTAGTTGGGTTTAGCATTATAGTATTGGTAGTTGCTATATGTGCATGCTTTGTCTGTTTAGAGAAACAGATACAGCAAACACGTATTATGTCATGGCTAACTAAAATGATTACACAGAGTGTGACAAAAATCAACATAATCTCATGGCAGTGCATCCACCATGGTTCCAACCAAGTAGTTATAAGCAATGTGCTCATGCTGGCCATCTAAATCTTTATTATAGGTGTTGAGGTCCTGCAATGGGTCGATGATGTCAGAACAACATTTAGGCCCAATTACTGAACATGTGTCTTCTTGTTGCGCTAAGACATAGTCTAATGCAACCCTATTTTTTTAGTATCATCAATCTTTGCGATTGCAGTGTCTCTGAAATTATACCTTGCTTGGGCAGTATCGTAAGCAAACTTTTCAACTTCATGAGATAAAGCATGAATTTGATCCAAAGCCATCATAACTTCATAATTTGGAGAAAATGCACCTAAAAATCTACTCCAGAATGTTTGACTGCATGTCAAATATTCAATACAGGAAGTGGGATCTGATGATATAAAAGCAGCACCAAAAGAATGATTTGGTCCTTTTGCATGAATATGTACTTGGTATTGGAAACTGTATCCCATTCACTTCGAATGTGAAGGTGGCATCAGTGTCCAGAAACTTGAAGACAGATGACACTAATTTTAGAGTCAGTGTCTTATTATGTTTCAGGAATTCTTGGAACAACATTCTGAGTTTGAATGCAGCTTAGTGTTTGCGGGTAGCCTTTGCTTGGTGTGAGCATATGCTTCATTATTTCTTTACTATGAACATACTTTATTATTACAGTTCACTGGATCACACAAACTTAAAACATCCAAAGATATAACTTAAATATTGGTGTCAACAGGGTGATGAATAAGGATGAGTTGCATTATTGACATTATTACTTGATAGAAAAAGATATAGACTGTTGTGGTCTCATTGCCCGTAAGATATAAATCAATGAACACCGACTATTGAAACCGGCAGTTCACTGAAGGCCATGATTGCACGTAACCAATAAGTTCCTGTAGGTGCAGGAACCCAGCAAAATTCATTAACTGATAACCAGTTTATTCATGGATCAGGCTCGTAAATGCAACCCTCAATCGATTTTGCTGTGAAGATGGGCTGTTTTTGTTTAAGTATAGCTATTTTGTCTATGATTTCAACCCCCGTAACGCAATGTACAGCATTGCATGCTCCTTGGTTTAGTGGTGTTGTGACAGCTGCTCACATTAATTGTAGAAACATCCATGTGTAGCAGGGCACACACATCACAGTCCAAAATGGCATTTTTAGACCAAGCTATACCAGTGGACACATTGACAGGATGAGGGAGCGCAGGACATCCAGACGTTCGTCAGTCCAATGGAGTGGTGAACTCCAGTGAGGTCAGCAACACAGTTACATGTCATTACGTGTCTGGCCAAGCATTGCCACAAGTGGTTGCTGAAAGAAATAAAGACACAGCAAATCAACAGTATCCCATAGCTCTCACTTATATGTTTTAAAGGATAACCATGGCTTTTCTGTACACGTTGCATGTGGGACTAGCATCTTTCCAGTGGGGTCCTAAAGACTAATCAGTCCTAATCTCACTTTTGGGTGGCTTCGCCCTGGGTTTGACCCCTGCCAGTGTAAATGCCGACAGTTCTGGCCAGGGTTCTTCTGTCACCCTATTATGTGGTGATAACACCACTTTGCAATGTTAAGCATGTGTCAATTAGGGGTGGGGTGGGGGGGGGTCATTTCTTGGATGCATCGCGATGCGGACGTGGATGATTCTGAATCGATTCACAAATGTCAAAAATTGATTTTGTTGCAGATTTAACATACCAGGAAACCAACTGCCGTTTTCATAAATGCAAAAGTCCATTCGTCTCTAAATGTTTGTCTTAAATCTTTCTCTTTGCTTTTTTGTTAGCTACTAGCTTGGTACAGTTGCCTGAATTGCTATGTGACTCTACAACTTCTATCTACCTATTTATCACTCCCTCCCTCAACAACT